ACTCTCCCTTTCTCCACCTCAGTTCCCTGTCGCTATTTGTCCAGTTTTCTTGTCCCTTCCTGCCTTCTCGTCTTTGCTTTTGGGCTGGCGTGCCCATTAGTCTCCTATGTATGAACTGAAGTATGAAGCACATTCCTCACCTGTGTTATTGTTGGTCCTGCAGAACTGTCTCATCTTTAGCTGAAGGGTGAACCTCACGAGTGACTTCAGTACTGAATTAAAAGGGCGTCCGGGGGCCATACTCTCAGAGTTTCTCCAGCCTCTTTCAGACCAGCAAGCCTGGTCCTTTCTTTTTTTTTTTTTTTTTTGTGAATTTGAATTTTGTTCTACATTTTTCTTCTGCTCCGCACAGGAACTTCTATTGTGATCCTGGTCAGAGCGGTTGATGGTGGTAATTGGGCACCATCTAGTTATTCTGCGCTCAGTCTGGTGGAGGTTGTGGTAGTTGTGGTCCATTAGTCCTTTGGACTAATCTTTCCGTTCTGTCTTTGGTCTTCTTCATTCTCCTTTGTTCCAGTCGGGATGGGACCACTAGATATATCTTAGATGGCTGCTTACAGGCTTTTAAGATGCCAGACACTACTCACCAAAGTTGAAGGTAGAACAATTTCTTTATAGACTATGTTATGCCAGTTGAGCTATATGTCCCCTGAGACCATGGCATGGTCCCCAGCCCTCAGCCCAGTAGCTCAGACTCTCAGAGTGTCTGGGTTTGTCTGTGAAGCGTCTATGACTTTGCCCTGGTCAAGTTGTGCTAACTTCCCCAGTACTGTGTATTGTCTTACCCTTCACCATAGTTATCACTTATCTACTATCTAGTTAGTGTTTTTCTCTCCCCACCCCTTCTTCCCCTTGTAACCATCAAAGATTGTTTCTTTCTGTGTGGAAACATTTTCATGTGTTTTTATAATAGTGGTCTCATACAGTACTTGTCCTTTTCTGATTGACTTATTGCACTCAGCATAATGCCCTCCAGATTCATCCATGTTGTGAGATGTTTTGTAGACTCATCATTGTTCTTTACCGTTGCATAGTACTCCATTGTGTGTATGTACCATAGTTTGTTCATCCATTCATCTGTTGATGGGCACTTAGGTTGTTTCCATCTTTTTGCTAAAGTAAATAATGCTGCAATGAACATGGGTGTCAATATGTCTATCTGTGTGATGGCTCTTATTTCTGTAGGATATATAGAGTGGGATTGCTGGATCATATGGTATTTCTATTTCTAGCTTTTTAAGGAAGCACATTATCGTTTTCCAAAATGGTTGCACTATTTTGCATTCCCACCAGCAGTACATAAGAGTTCCAATCTCCCTGCAACTGCTCCAACATTTGTTATTTTCTGTTTTTTGGATTTGTGCCAAAACTGTAGGGGTAAGATGGCATCTGATTGTAGTTTTGATTTGCATTTCTCTAATGGCTAGTGATCCCAAGTATTTCCTCATGTTAGCTACCTGAATGTCTTCTTTGTGAAGTGTCTGTTCATATCCTTTGCCCATTTTTTAATTGGATTATTTGTCCTTTTATTGTAGAGGTGTTGGATTTTCCTATAGATTTTAGAGATTAGACCTTTGTTGGATTTGTCATAGCTAAATTTTTTCTCCCAGTCTGTAGGTTCTCCTTTTTACTCTTTTGGTGAAGTCTTTTGATGAGCATAAGTGTTTAATTTTTAGAAAATCCCAGTTATCTAGCTTGTCTTCTGGTGTTTGTGTGTTGTTAATTACAGTTTGTATCCTGTTTAAGCCATGTATTAGGGCCACTAGTGTTGATCCTATTTTTTCTATGATCTTTATAGTTTGTGGTTTTATATTTAGGTCTTTGATCCATTTTGAATTAGTTTTTGTGTATGGTGTGATGTTGGGTCCTGTTTCATTTTTTTAAAGATGAAGATCCAATTTTGCCAGCACCATTTGTTAAAAAGACTGTCTTTTCCCCATTTAATGGACTTTGGGCCTTTGTCAAAGATCAGGTGGCCATAGATAGATGGATTTACATCTGGATTCTCAACTCTGTTCCATTGGTCATTGTGTCTGTCGTTGTACCAGTACCAGGCTGTTTTGACTACTGTAGCTGTATAGTAGGTTCTGAGGTCAGGTAGTGTGAAGCCTCATACTTTGGTCTTCTTTTTCAATAATGCTTTACTTATCCAGGGCCTCTTTCCTTTCCATATGAAGTTGATGACTAATTTTTCCATCTCGTTAAAGAACGGTGTTGGCATTTGGATTGGGGTTGCATTGTATTTGTAGATTGCTTTGGGTAGAACTGACATTTTCACAATGTTGAGTCTACCTATCCATGAGCATAGTATGTTTTTCCATTCAGGTAGGCGTCTTTTGGTTTTTTGCAGTAGTGTTTTGTAGTTTTCTTATATAGGTCATTTACGTCCCTGGTTAGATTTATTCCTAAGGTTTCTTTTTTTTTTTTTTTTTTAGGAGCTGTTATAAATGGTATTGCTTTCCTGATTTCCTTTTCATCATTCTCTTTATTGGTATATAAGAATCCAACTGATTTTTTTATGTTTATCTTGTATCCTGCTACTGTCCTGAATCTTTCTATTAGTTCCAGTAGTTTTCCTGTGGAGTCCTTAGGGTTCTCTATGTGTAACTAAAAAAATATAGTTTTATTTCTTCCTTACCAATTTGGATGCCCTTTATTTCTTTTTCTTGCCTTATTGCTCTAGCCAGGACTTCCAGCACAATGATAAACAGGAGTGGTGATAAAGGGCATCCTTGTCTTGTTCCCATTCTCAGGAGGAATGTTTTCAGCCTCTGTTGAGAATGATGTTGGCTGTTGGTTTTGTATAGATGCCCTTTATTATGCTGAGGAATTTCCCTTCTATTCCTACTTTATTGAGAGTTATTATCAGGAATGGGTGTTGGACTTTGTTGAATGCCTTTTCTGCACCAGTTGAGATGATCATGTGATTCTTTTCTTTTGTTTTATTTATGTGGTGGATTATCTTGATTGATTTTCTAATGTTGAACCATCCTTGCATACCTGGTGTGAATCCCACTTGGTTGTAGTCTATTATTTTTTTACATGGTGCTGGATTTTATTGGCTACAGTTGAGAATTTTTGCCTCTATATTTATGCAAGATGTTGGTCTGTAATTTCCTTTTTTTGTGATGTTTTTGCCTGGTTTTGGTATCAGGATTATGCTGGCTTCATAGAATGAATTTGGACGTATCCCTTCCTTTTCTATGTTCCAAAATAGTTTGAGTAGTACTGGTGTGAACTCCTCTCTGAATGTTTAGTAGAATTGTCCAGTGAAGCCAACTGGGCCAGGACTTTTTTTGTTGGGAGGTTTTTTTATTATTATTATTACCTTTTCAATCTCTTCTCTTGTTACGGGTCTGTTCATATTTTCTACCTCAGTTTGTGTTAGTTTACGTAGGTAGTATGTTTCTAGAAATTTGTTCATTTCCTCTAGGTTTTCAAATTTGTTGGAGCACAGTTTTTCATTGTACTCTGTTATGATCTTTTTTATTTCCATTGGGACTGTTGCAGTGTTCTTCATTTCATTTCTTATTTGGGTTATTTGCTTCCTCTTCTGTTTTTCTTTTGTCGATTTTGCCAGTGGTTTGTCAATTTTGTTGATCCTTTCAAAGAACCAGCTTTTGGTTTTGTTGATTCTTTCCATTGTTTTTCTGTTCTTCATTTCATTTATTTCTGCTCTGATCTTTATTATTTCCTTTCTTCTGGTGGCTGCAGGCTTCTTTTGCTCTTCTCTTTTTATTTGTTGGAGTTACAGGGCTAATGTTTTGATTTTGTCCTTTTCTCTCTATCATTCTTTTTCTTTTTTTTTTTTGATGTGTGCATCTATTGCTATAATTGACCTCTGAGATCTGCCTTTGCTGCGTCGCAAAGATTTTGGTGTTTTCATTCTCATTTGATTCTAGAAACTTTTTTATTCCATCTTTGATGTCTTGTATTACCAGTGGTTTTTATGTAAGGTGTTATTCAGTTTCCATGTATTTGATTTTTTTCTCCTTGCTCTTCCTGTTATTAATTTCTACTTTTATGACATTGTGATCAGAGATGATGTTTTGTATTATCTCTATATTCTGGATTTTGTTGAGGGCTGCTTTTTGGCCTAAGATGGGGTCTATTCTGGAGACTGTTCCATGTGCATTAGAAAAGAATGTATACTTTGCTGCTGTTGAGTGGAGTGTTCTGTACATGTTTATGAGGTCAAGATGTTTGCTTGTAGCCTTTAGATCTTCTGTATCTTTGCTGAGTTTCTTTTTAGATGTTCTGTCCTTTACCGAGAGTGGTGTGTTGAAACTCCTACTACTGTTGTGAAACTGTCAATTTCTCTTTTCAGTGTTGTTAGAGTTTATGTATTTTGGAGCCCTGTCATTGAGATCATAGATATTTAGCATGAATATGTCATCATGGTGCATTTTCCCTTTATTCATTATATAGTGTTCCTCCTTGTCTTTTATGGTGAATTTTGCCTTAAAGTCTATTTTATCTGAGTTTATTATTGCCACTCACACTCTTTTTTGTTTGCTGTTTGCTTGATATACTTTTTTTCCATCCTGTGATTTTTAATATATTTATGTCTTTGTGTCTAAGGTGTGTCTCTTGTAGACATCACATTGATGGATCATGTTTTTTTAATCCATCCCGTCACTCTCTGTCCTTTTATGGGTGCATTTAAACTATTTACATTCAGTGTGATTATCGATAGGTGTGAATTTATTGCTGTCATTTTGTAGTGTTTTTTTTTTTTTCTTGTAGTGCTGAAGTTTTCTTTGTTCCTCTGACTCTCATGTGCTGAGTTCCTTTTGTTTGTGTAATTTTTTTTAGTGTCTTTTGTTATCGCAGATTTTGTGTTTACTGAGACTTTATGTTTTTCTTCTTTATTTTGGTGAGTAGGTTTATTAACTTGCTTTGTGGTTACCTTGAAATTTAACCCTTATCTTCCTAAGTTTGAGCCAGTCTTTTATTACTTGATATCACCTTGACTTCCTCTCCATTTGAAAGTTCTACACAAAAATATAGACTGCTTCACGGATTTGCGTATCATCCTTGCACAGGGGCTTTGCGAATCTTCTCTGGATCATTCCAATTTTAGTATATGTGCTACCAAAGTGAGCACACTAAGTGCTCTTTAAAGGCAGATAATTTTTTTTTTTTGTATTGTGATATGTTT